GAAAACATCCATTGGCCCCCAGAGGAACACAGGCCTGATGACCTGCTTGCTGTAAAGCATGTACCTCAGCAAACCCCACAGAGCAAGCAGTCCCACCAGCTAACTCAGTGGTTCTCAAGCTTTAGATCGCGACCCCTTTGGGGTGGGTCAAACCACCCTTTCACAGGGGTCGCCTAAGACCATCAGAAAACATAAATACTGCACAATATATAATTACATATTTTCTTGATTCATCACTGTGCTTTTATTATGTTTAATTATGTTCAATTGTAACAATCAAAATACATCCTGCATATCATATATTTACATTACAATTCATAACGATAGCAAAATTAGAGTTATGAAGTAGCAATGAAAATAATTTACTGAAAAAACATAATTTTATAGTTGGGGGTAGGTCACCACAAAAGATTGGCAGCATTAGGAAGGTTGAGAACCACTGTCCTAGAGGGTCACTATAAGTCAAAATTGACTCGATGGCAGTGAGTTCTTTTTTTGTTCTTTATGTCTTCTCCCAAATTAAAATATCATTTGACGAATTTTTCGTAGCATTCCATTTGGTGGCAAATTTGTAAAAAAGGCAGATTAACATCCTTAAAGGCCTGGCCTGTAACACAAAGATCGGTGCTTTAATTTGTGAAAGTCATCTTGCTATTTTAACTGTTCTCAGGCATTTCACATAACTCCTTTCCTCCCTAGCAAGATGAGCGGTGTTCTGTTTTTAACTATAGCTTGGGTGACAGTGTACAGAGCGTGTTAGTTTTCCCTTCAACAATTTATACACATTTAAGCGGTTCCCTGTCCTTTTTTGTCTTCTGGGCTTTATTTTGAGGAAAATGCTGCCCCTTTTGGTCTACTGTAGCTCATCCTTCTGATGAGAACATTCTTCTCAGATAGTTACTTAATAAGTCTGTCATTTGGCACAAGGTGCTTTCGGGGGGTGAGTTCAGATTTGAAGAGGACCAGTCTCTGGGGTTCCATGGCTCTCTGCCAGACGAGTAAGTGTGGTCTCCTTTTTATGAATTCATTCTCCTATGTATTTCTCCTATTCTGTCCAGGACCTTCCGTGGTCCTGATCAGAGTGGTTGTTAATGGTGGCTGGGCACCCTCTAGGTCTCCTGGTCTTAGGGTAGTAGAGGCTGTCATACACACGTGTCATCAGCTATTTCTTTGAGTCCTTGATTTTCTTCACTCTGGATTCCTCTGGATGGGGAGAGACTGATAGCTGCCTCTTCGATGGC